TAAGCTTTGAAGTGTCAAGAAGAAATTACAAGAGATCAATAGATTTGACTATATAAAATCCCAAAAATATATACACTGATATAACCAAAAGAAAAATAACCAGTTGATGAGACTATCTGCTTCAAATATAACAAAGGATTAACTTCTATATTTTATAAAGCATTCATGCAAATCTATCCGAAAAGCATATTCTCCAAAGATAAATGGTCGGAGGTACTTCAAACAAGAGGAAATGGAATGAGTAAATGGCAAAATGTTCAACCTCACTAGTGGTTATCTTTAGTGCAAATTAAAACAATTACATTAGCAAAAGTTAAAAATAAGTAATTACCAGGCTGGCATGGTAAAATTGCAAGGATTCAGCCGGACTCAGTGGCTCAGCCTGTAATCCCGCGCCTTTGGGAGGCTGAGGTGAGTGGATTGCCTGAGCCCACAGGTTCGCGACCCGCCTGGGCAACTTGGCGAGACCTCATCTCTACAATAAATCAAAAATTAGCCGGGCGTGGTAGCGCGCGCCTGTAGTTCCAGCTACTAGGAACGCTGAGGCGGAAGGATCACCGGAGCCCAGTAGGTCGAGGCTGCGGTGGCCGGGATACGACCACTGCACTCCAGTCTGGGCAACAGAGTGAGACTCCATCTCAAAAAAAAAAATTGCAAGGATTCTTGGAGAAAGGTTTTTGGCAGTATACACACGCTACCCTAAAAGCATTCAAACTCTGTAACATAGTGCTCCCTTTCTAATGGTTACTGTCAACCACTCCCATGAGCTAATCACAGATGCACCAATTCTCCCACAACTGTGTCTCCAGTCCAGATCATGCACCTGAGCTCAGAACTGTGTCTATATCACCAGACTGATATTTCCTACTCCCTCAGCCCCATGTGTCAGCCTGACCTCCTCATCTCCCCAAGCATACTCCTCTGCCTCCTCCTTGTTCCAGTGAATGCATCACTGAGTCACCAAGCCAGAAACCTGGGAGTCATCCTAATTACCTCCTTGTCCCTCACTCCTGCACATTCATCATTCCCCAGCCAGATCCTGCCAATACTCCATCTGCAGTGTCTTTTGAACCTGCCTCCTCCTCCTCAGTCCTACAGTTACAGATCTGGGTCTCACCCTCCTGTTTCTTACTTGTATTGTTGAAATAGACCTGACCCATGTCCTCTAAGTCACTCACATTTCCTTCAAACCATTCTACAGGGAGGAGTTGAAGTCATCGTCTTAAAGCACAAAACTGATCCCATCTTCCTTAAAATCTTTAAATGGCTCCCCATTGTCTACCTACAGGCTAAACTCCAAGATATTTAAGATTTAGCAGCCCTTTGCATCCCAACCTGCTTCACCGCCATCTTTTCTCTGATGAGCTTCTTCTAGCTTTCCTTCCCACCTCTTCCATTATAATGTGAGTTCCTTGAGAGCAGGAACTAAATCTTTTGTTGTTGTTGTTGTTGTTGTTGCTGTTGTTGTTGCTGTTGTTGCTGTTGCTGGTGTTGTTTTTTGAGTTGGAGTCTCGCTCTGTCGCCCAGACTGGAGGGCAGTGGCCACTCCCGGCCACCGCAGCCTTGACCTGCTGGGCTCCAGCGATCCTTCCGCCTCAGTCTTCCAAGTAGCTGGAACTACAGGCGCGTGCTACCACGCCCAGCTAATTTTTTTGATTTATTGCAGAGATGATGTCTCACCAAGTTGCCCAGGTGGGTCTCGAACCCGCGGGCTCAGGCAATTCACTCACCTCAGCTTCCCAAAGCGCGGGATTACAGACTGAGCCACTGATTCTGAGCCACGGAGCCCGGCTAGGAATAAATCTTAATCATCTCTGCATCCCAGGCTTATAATACAGAGCTTGACACAGAGTAGGTACTTAAATGTTGGTTGAAGGAATAGATTTATTCTAAGGAAATCATTCAACTGAAAGAAAAAGCTGTATGAAGGAAGCTGTTCACTGTAAAAAACATTCATAATAAAGAAAAAGTTCAAGCCGGGCTTGGTGACTCAGCCTGTAATCCCGCGCCTTTGGGAGGCTGAGGTGAGTGGATTGCCTGAGCCGGAGGGTTCGAGACCTGCCTGGGCAGCGAGACCTCATCTCTACAATTAATCAAAAAATCAGCCGGCCATGGTAGCGCATGCCTGTAATTCCGGCTACTTGGAAGGCTGAGGCGGAAGGATCGCCGGAGCCCAGCAGGTCGAGGCTGCGGCGGCCGGGAGCGGCCACTGCACTCCAGTCTGGGCAACAGAGCGAGAGTCCAACTCAAAAAAAAAAAAAAAAAGTAAAAGAAAAAGTTCAGAAAACTGAATGTCCAACAAAAGAGAACTTTTATTAATTATGGGACATTCACTTAATGGAATATGATGCCGCTGTTAAAATAGTAATTATCAAGATCATGTAGCAACTTGGAAAATGTTTCTAATATAATAAAAGCAGAATACAAAATGGTCTGTATGCTAGGACTAAAATTATGTAAAAGTATGCATGCACACAAACCCATCAGGATGAGAACAGGAACAAATGAATACAGATGATGTGTTTAGGGTGTTCAGGGAGGTACTGTTTGCGATTTACTTAGCTCTTTCCAAATTCTCTTTATTGTTGTTAGAATGTCACCTGTGCACAAATACAAATTGAGAAAGAAAATAATATCCCTCAAGTCCTTTGACAACCCATGGTATAAAAACAAACCAAACAACCACCGACCTGGGAGGCAAGAGACCAGCTCCACCCTCCCATAAAGGGTTGTGTGATTTTGGTTAAGTGAGATCTGTAGCTCTAACCAGTCATTTCTCCTATCCTTTCTAAATGTAAATTCCATAGTCATCCCTCACTCTCAGATCAACGCCTTCATCATTTCTGTTAGCTGCACCACCATCTTCCCAGTGCCCCCAGATTGAAAACCTTCTGCTATCACCCTCTCTCTGTTACTCACCTCCAACTAATTGATCCTTCCCACTAATCATTTATTTTTTTGTTGTTGTTTTTTGGGGGTTTTTTTGAGTTGGAGTCTCACTCCGTCTCCCAGACTGGAGTGCAGTGGCCGCTCCCGGCCACCACAGCCTCGACCCGCAGGGCTCTGGCGATCCTTCCGCCTCAGCCTTCCAAGTAGCCGGAATTACAGGCATGCACTACCACACCCAGCTGATTTTTTGATTTATTGTAAAGATGAGGTCTCGTTGCCCAGGTGGGTCTCGAACCCTCGGGCCCAGGCAATCCACTCACCTCAGCCTCCCAAAGGCGCGGGATTACAGGCTGAGCCACTGAACCCGGCTAATCATTTATTTTTATTTATTTATTTATTTATTGTTTGTTTGTTTGTTTTTGAGGGGGGTGGAGTCTCACTCTGTCACCCAGACTGGAGTGCAGTGGCCGCTCCCAGCCACCGCAGTCTCGAACTGCTGGGTTCCGGCGATCCTTCCGCCTCAGCCTTCCGAGTAGCTGGAACTACAGGCGCGCGCTACCATGGCCGGCTCATTTTGATTTATTGTAGAGATGAGGTCTCGCCAAGTTGCCCAGGTGGGTCTCGAACCCGCGGACTCAGGCAATCCACTCACCTTAGCCTCCCAAAGGCGCGGGATTACAGGCTGAGCCACCGAGTCCGGCACCCACTAATCATTTATAACATGCTTTATTATGGATCATACTCCAGTTTTAGACAAAGAGGCATCCCTGCCCTCCTAGTTAATACTGTCTGGTTGAGAAGAACATACAGTTTTTTCTCTCTTGTTCCTCTGCAGACTGCTGAGAGATGAAGTGGATGGTAGAGACAGAGACTTGTAAAGTGGCACCTCATGTGTTCGGAGCTTGATTCAACGGTGGGAAGAATTCAGTCACAGGCTGGATGCTCTCAGGTATGGTATAGTAGGATTTGGCACAATGAATGGGATGCTGACTCAATTTATTCATTCCACAAGTATTTACCAAGTGCTGGACACAGCTCCAAGCTCTCTGGTAGGTGGCAAAGCCTGCCCAGATGAATTGGAGCAGGCTTTGCCCTGGAGATCCTCAGTTTAGTGGAAGACAGACAAGCAAATTAGTCATTGCTACATAATGTGCTAAGTGCTGTCACCAAGTTTAAAAAGATGGCTCTGGTGCAAGAATGGGATTTACCCTGCCTGAGGGGACCAGGAGCTCACAGAACCAAAGGGACATGAGTTGAAAGTATCTCCAAGGCTAAGGAGTGGGATTAGGTGGTTCCTAGGAAAGAGGCTGGGCTGTTAATGGCAATTCCAAGCTGAGGAATCGTTAAGTCCACAGGCAGTCCTGAAAGTGCCAGCTCTCTTAGAGCAAATTAGTTTGGAGTGGCTTGAGCTTTGACATTTGGGATGGGAGGAGGGAGTAACCGGCCAGACAAAGCTCTGACCTTCTCTCTCAGGGTAGGAAGGAGAGTCAAGGGCAGTTTCAAAGCAGAGAAATAGCAGGATCAGATCTTTTAGTTAGATAAGTAGGTAATCTCTAATGTTCCTTCTCTTCCCCGAGACTCTGTAAGTGCTCAGGAAGCGAGGGGGAGGATGTCAGGGTTCAAGCAGGGATTTTACCTCCCACCTCCTACAGCCCATCCTCTCGGCAGTCTGCACAGAAATAAGAGTAAAAAACGTTGTTGGCTCTTCCCAATTTTCAGTATGGGCTGACTGGCTGACTCGAGGGAACCTGAAAGAAGGGACAGACAAAATATGTTTACAAAATAATTGAGTTTCAAGTCAGAGACGAGTTAAAAAAGAAAGAATATTTAGTGTTTATTAAAGTGTATTGTATTTATTATATAATCATCTACACGTGGGGCTCAAAGTAGCTCACTTTGAACTCTCCTTGAAGGCGGGGGTCTCATCTAGTTCATCTATGTATTCCCAGCACCTAGCACCGAATCAGGAACAGAAGAGGCCCTCCGCAAATATGCGGGGAGGAAGTGCGGACAAGGAGGAGGGAGGAGACTGCCCTGAGGAGACACCCTCTTTTGCCAGAAGTTCCCCAGCTCTGAACCTCCGACCTCCCACCAGCAGATGGCAAGACAGAGTCCCGACGCGCCTGGAAGGTACTGCGCTGGGCGGAGCGTCTGATTAGCCGGCGCGCGCAGCCTCCGACCCTCATTTCTCCGCGCACCGGAAGAAGGCGGCCCTCTTTCCGTGACCTGCACAGCCATGGTAAGGTTGCGGCTTTAGGAGCTCTTGGGACTTATCCGCTTCCATCCTCCTCTGGTTGGGGCTGTCCGGGTCCTTGGGGCTCCCGTGAGGGATGGCCTGGCAGAAGCGAAAGGATCACGGCCTACGAGATTGCTCCGGGCAGGCTCCATGGCGGAGGGCGAGCGCCGGCCTAGAGTTGGGGGGGGCAGATCTGGTGCCGCTTGCGGAAAGGCCTCGGTCTCAGACCAGGCCACACATCCTCTGATCCCCGGAGAAGCAACTTTTCTTGCCGGGTTGGAGTTGGGTGGGCCAGGAACTCAGACTGCGAGCCCGGGGCAGGTGACACTGGGCCGCCAGGCGGAGAAGGGTTTTTCTTAATCATTCTTTTTGGCACGGCCTGACTACGTTGTGTAACGGCTAAGCATCTGTACACAACATTGAAAAGACTTCCTGCCTCTTTTTAAAGTAAAATTGGTATCGGCATTTGGCTTTACCAGGGAGCAGCACACGTGGCTGTGCAAATGTCAGTTTGATATTGTGCCAGACACCTCAAAACTAGACTGTCATATTGTGATATTTTTACTTTGATTAACAAGTAGAAGCACAGATGGGTTTCTGGGCCGTTTCACTAGCATGGTGTCCTTGAAAGAACCTTACCTATGTAAGCACGGGCCGTTTTAAGAGGTTGCGTGAAGATACTTTAGCAGATTCTGGAAGATAGTAACTAATTAATGCTCTCTGTACAATGTGATGGCTGGTTGCAGTGTACCGAGCTTAAACAGCATTTGCTAGGTTCTGTGTATGATTTTGCTTCTCTGTTTTATTGGAGCCCTGGGTTTTGTTTGGTTTTCTTCTGAAAAGAATAGTTATTTCAAAAGTTACAGAGGGGCACAACGTTGATAAGGGTACCTGATCTCACACTGGGCAAAATGAGGACCAGATGGAGGCACAAACTTTACCTGTGCGATGTCCAAAAGTTAGTAAAATTTAAAAAAAGAAAGTTACACACTAGTTTTTGTAATCAATTCTTGAAGACTCCTGAACTCACTTAACATTGCAATCTAATCCTTTGTTTCAGGCTCGTGGTCCCAAGAAGCATCTGAAGCGGGTAGCAGCTCCAAAGCATTGGATGCTGGATAAATTGACCGGTGTGTTTGTAAGTATCTTAAGGGAGATATCTGATACTGTTCCTTGGCATGTCTGATTACTGTATTCATAAATGTTTCTTGTAGTGCCTGCTATTTTAAGTGCCTCACAACTCATTTGGGGACCAGACTAGGGAGGAAATATCTGTTCTTGACTTCCTCTGCTCTTGAAGGCCCTGTGCTATCTAGCTGCACCCCTCCTCCACTCTTAATATTTTTGTGTCATTTATTCCACATACCACACGGTACACATGAACTAAAGACTCACATATTCTTGATGAGCCTGGTTCTCTAAAGAAAACAACAGTAAGCCGGGCTCAGTGGCTCAGCCTGTAATCCCGCAGCCTTTGGGAGGCTGAGGTGAGTGGATTGCCTGAGCCCATGGGTTCGAGACCTGCCTGGGCAGGCGAGACCTCATCTCTACAATAAAATCAAAAAAATTAGCTGGGCATGGTAGCGAGCACCTGTAATTCCAGCTACTCAGAAGGCTGAGGCGGAAGTATGGTCGGAGCCCAGCAGGTCGAGGCTGCGGTGGCCGGGAGCAGCCACTCCTCCAGTCTGGGCAACAGAGTGAGACTCCGACTCAAAAAAAAAAAAAAAAAGAAAAAGAAAACAACAGTAAAACTTTAAGGTCTGCAATAGTTTTGTAAGCTTTGTACACCTATGTAAACGCACGAGTAGAGGTGTAATAAATCAAAAAATTAGCCAGGCGTGGTAGCGCGCACCTGTAGTTTCGGCTACTTGGAAGGCTGAGGCGGGAGGATCGCTGGAACCCAGCAGGTCAAGGCTGCGGTGGCTGGGAGCAGCCACTGCACTCCAATCTGGGCAACAGTGAGACTCCAACTCAAAAAAGAGAGAGGAGAGAATAATTTATAAACTTTTATAATTTTATAGGCTCCTCGTCCATCCACTGGTCCCCACAAGCTGAGAGAATGTCTTCCTCTCATCATTTTTCTAAGAAACAGACTTAAGTATGCTCTGACTGGAGATGAAGTAAAAAAGATCTGCATGCAGCGGTTCATTAAGATCGATGGCAAGGTCCGAACTGATATAACCTACCCTGCTGGTTTTATGGGTAAGTGGAAGTTTTAAGTATTGTGGAGACACTTAGTGATGGGAAACCAGTGTGATAACCAAATAAGATTTTCTAGCATCATTAATCTTCAGAATTCTTGTTGGTGTTTGAAGTGAGAAAGTACATGGGGGTTTTGTTAATGAACTCTGGTTGTTGACTCATCATGGGTTAGTGGGGGTCACTGTAGTAACATTTTTCTTTGATACCAGATGTCATCAGCATTGACAAGACTGGAGAGAACTTCCGCCTGATCTATGACACCAAGGGTCGGTTTGCTGTTCATCGTATCACACCTGAGGAGGCCAAGGTGCATGTTGTTTGAAGTTAATTTCTCCAACAGATTGTCCTTTTTGTGATAGAAATGAATTCTAGTTGAACAATGCCTTCCTAGCTATCTCTTAGAAGCGACAGTGATTTCTAGGAACTCCATTATGGGTACCTGGAGTATGCCCTCTTTAAAGATAAGGGACCAGAAAACCAATCTAGTCCAAACCTATTGACCTTTGGCCATGTCTCCATTTATGGGTCTGGCTTTGGGGAGGGGAAGGTGTTGATGGAGAAGACTGATAAGATAGTCCTTGAGGCACCAGTTTCAGATTTATTACAGTGTTTATTTAATCCAGTTTGTTGTGGTGGTTTTACAAAAAAGTTTAGGGCTTCTTGAAGTGTTGGCTGTAAGTGAAGGTTAATTCAATTAGCTTATGTGGCTCCTAATTTATTTGTGCACTGCCTTGTTATCAGCAGGCTGGAGGGCATGTCCAGTGGCATCTGATTTGATTTACTTGAAGGTTATCAGGGAGTAGAGATCCAGAATTGAAATACTGTTGATTAGATGAACTGGTAATGTAATTACTGTTTGAGACAAGACTGAGTTGTGATATAGGGGGGTCCGTTGATGTAAGAAAGAACACATGTTAGGAGAGATCAGGGAGAGTTAAGAGGGAAGAGTCCCCATGAGGCTTAAAGTGGAGTGGAACTTATATTGGAGAAGGAGACACACAGTAGTGGACATCCAACCACGTTTTTGTGTCCTTGTCAGCAAAGTTGTAGAGCTCTTCAGTATCTTGGACTTTAGTGAGGGAAGGGGATTCAGGAATAAGAAGAAAATAAATGTAGGAAGACTAGACTAGAGAAGGGGCTGTATGTAGCATATATTTATGAAGGATGGAGAGAAAAATCAGGGCCACAGTTCTGTTGCAGTTCGGGAGACCCATGGGTCCTGTATAGGTTGTTGCCTTTAACTACTAATTGCATTTTCAAGCCTGTGACTTGGAAAGACCTGTTCTATCCACTCTGGAGCATAGTGCATGTAAGCTACACTAAATGTGCCTAACCCTTGTGTTTTTCCTAGTACAAGTTGTGCAAAGTAAGAAAGATCTTTGTGGGCACAAAAGGAATTCCTCATCTGGTGACTCATGATGCTCGCACCATCCGCTACCCTGATCCCCTTATCAAGGTGAATGACACCATTCAGATTGATTTGGAGGCTGGCAAAATTACTGATTTTATCAAGTTTGACACTGGTAAGCATCTTGTACCTGAGCTTCCTCTTTTAGGCCCAAGTGTTATGGCTGTTTAGCCACCACAGCCTCTACCTGCTGGACTTAGGCAATCCTTCCAGCTAGTTTTTGTGATTTATTGTAGTGACAAGGTCTCACCAAGTTGCCCAGGCTGTTCTTGAACCCCGGGCTCAGGCAGTCCTCTCACCTCAGCCTCCCAAAGCACTGGGATTACAGGCTGAGCCACCGCACCCGGCCCCTCTTTTTTGTTTTTTTTAAAAGCCATCTGCTCCGAGCCCCCGGGTTTATGTTATTTTTCTTCCAGAGGTTCAAATGCTTAGAATATTCTGGGTAGCTGAAATGAGATCTGGTATAAAAACACATTTCTTCTTTTTTTTTTTTTTTTTTTTTTGAGTTGGAGTCTCACTTTCGCCCAGACTGGAGGGCAGTGGCCGCTCCCGGCCACCGCAGCCTCCACCAGCTGGGCTCCAGCAATCCTTCTGCCTCAGCCTTCCAAGAAGCTGGAACTACAGGTGCACGCTACCACACCCGGCTAATTTTTGATTTATTGCAGAGATGAGGTCTCGCCAGGTTGCCCAGGTGGGTCTCGAACCCGCAGGCTCAGGCAATCCACTCACCTCAGCCTCCCAAAGGCGTGGGATTACAGGCTGAGCCACCGAGCCCGGCTAAAAACACATTTCTTAAGAGGAGCTTGGGAATCCTAGCTGGGGCCACAAATCCATGGGAGTAGACTCAGGCTCAATATGGAGAAAAGGATCTTTGGGATGCTTGTTATTTGTTACTTGGGGTGGTTGTAAGTTTGCACAGTGCCTTGCTTGAAGTAGATGATTTCTTCGTGTCTAGGTAACCTGTGTATGGTGACTGGAGGTGCTAACCTGGGAAGAATTGGTGTGATCACCAACAGAGAAAGACATCCTGGATCTTTTGATGTGGTTCATGTAAAAGATGCCAATGGCAACAGCTTTGCCACTCGGCTCTCCAACATTTTTGTTATTGGCAAAGTAAGTCTGGGTTTCCCTTCTCTCTAGTCCAGGGAAACATGTAGATGTGGGTGTTCCTGGGATTGAGGCTGGTTCTGCTGCTTTTTTAGCATCATGGAATCAGTGGGGGACCCAATCACCTTGGTTGGTGAAAAGTGCCAGTGACAATGTATATAGCTTACATTTAGGCACTAAGTTTGCAGTGGCTGTGTTTACTTGGAAATTAACAGCCTCAGGTACCACTTAACTTGGACTTGCTTCAATAAATGTTAAGTCCCTGCTATGTATAGTAATCATCTAAGACATTAATTATGAATGGTGTATAGCAAGTTTTAGAGAATAGCCCCAGCAACCCAAGCAGTAGATGACTTCTTGTAACCGTCATTTTACTGTTTTAGGACTGCCTAGTTCGCAAACAGGCTTCAGTTCTGTTACATGAGATGACAGTTGTAGCATGTGCCAAGCTGCTAATGGAGTTGATAATGTAGCAGGTTTTGAATCTCCTTGTTTTCTTCTCCAGGGTAACAAACCATGGATTTCTCTTCCCAGAGGAAAAGGTATCCGCCTCACCATTGCTGAAGAGAGAGACAAAAGACTGGCAGCCAAACAGAGCAGTGGGTGAAATGGTCTCTGTGACGTGTTAAAAAGATCTTTACCTAATTAAAGATAACACAGTGTGGTTCATTGCCTGTTGGTTTTTACAAAAATTTAGTTGCCTGCTATTTTATTTTATAATGTGACAAGTGATTGGGTTCTCAGGCAGGCTTGGGCAGTGGTGGAAAGTAAAGCACGCCAGACTTGGGAAAGGAACAGCAACTAGCTAAGGGCTAAAGAGGGCCAAGAAAGCCCAGAGTGTTGATTCTTAAATTGGCGAAAAACTTATTAAACCCGGGTTGGGGGGGGTCCCTCTGTCTTACTAAATTCTCTTGACTTTTTGAAAAATCAGCACCCTCATTTTCTTACTCCGGTCTTTATTGCATTAGCCCATCTATAAGCCTAGTTCATCTGTTTTTTCACTCCTGTGCCCAGCTTGCCAAATGCCAAGTGCAAATCTCCAGCTGTAGATAAGGGTCATCATTACAAATGTACAGATGATTGATGTTGCAAAGTAGTGCACTTACTTTGGACATGGTACTCCATTCTCCAACTGCCACTGTAATCCTGTTTCTCAGAGGACTTGGCAAAACAAACCATGTAGAAAATGAACTGCTTCCCTAAAAGTGTAGGATCATGTCAGGTTTGCCAATTTTAGGAGGAAGTGCCCCTGCTTCATGGGGCCTGCTCTTAATACCTGTGTCTCAATCCAAGCCCTCCAGTCTCTTCTCCAAAAGTATCAGTTTATCCTGCATTGTTAGTATTACCCTATGAAGTGATCTTCCTGCTAAAAACAAAAAACACCCTTGCCTCCTGTAACAGGGCTTTTGAGTTTTGATACTATTGACATCTGGGCCTAGGTAATTTGTTACAGGCAGCTGTCCTGTACACTGTGGGATGTGTAGCGCCATTCCTGGCCCCTACCCACTATATGTAGTACCACTTATCCGTCCCCACCCAGTTGTGATGACCAAAAATTACTCCAGATACTGCCAAATGCCTTCTGAGAAGGAGAGTTGCCCTGTGATAAGAACCACTACCCAGTAGATACTGCTGTATCTCAGCATTACCCTCAATACCTTGTTTCAGAATGCTCGAGCTTAGTCATCCCACCATCATGGTTTTAGGGAAGAAAATCTTTTTAAAAAGTTTTGGGCATCTTTCAGATACAATAAACGTGAAGTCATCCCTCGGTACCCCGGCCTGTGGTACAGCAGCAGAGAAGTCTCATGAGGCACTGTGGCTTGGGGCAGTGTTTCCACCCTGGTTGCATCGTGGGCCTGGAGTCAGGAGGCACAGATTACTTGGTCTTCCCAGAGAACTGACCAACATCCAAGCTAATCAGCTTAAGGAGGCATACCCAGGGATCTCTGACACTGGGATTTGACCCCAGAGGGTTTCTCTGCTTTTCACTGCAGGCTCAAAAGCATGACTGGCTGGAACCCCAGGACCTCTACCTAAGAAGGAAAAAAGGAATTTCAGGAACTGGGTCCAGCCAAATCAGGGATGAGAGGGGTGCAAAAATGGGTTTGCCAGACATCTTGCCTAAGCATGGTTTTTCTTGCCAAGAGAATAGAGCTCATCCAGGTAGCCAATTCTGATGAAAGACCAGGTCAGAAGTAATCTTGCATTGCCCCTGAGACAGGTGAGACTGAAAGGCCAGAGGGTAGGGCTTCAGCCGGTAACCTGGGTGCAGGGTCCCTGAATACTGGGGCTCTTGCTGCTACCCTGCTTAACACACCTTTGGCCACATTTTGCTTCTTTCTAGATTTGTTCTAAGTAAATTAAAGAAATTTGGATTTTGGCTAAGGAACCAAAACAAATGTAGAAAATTTCAAGAAGACTTAAAGTTGGACCTTTCCATCAAAGCAGTGGTTTCTGGTGCTCACTGGTGAGCCATCTCACACAACTGGAGAATTGGTGTTAAGCTGTAGTCTCATAGCACTGGCAGACTTTAACATTATGCATTTGTTTTGATTTTTTATTTGTTAAACTAGCACAGAATTTTGGTGGGGGATTTTTTTAGCAACTTCCCCATTGTGGGGAAGATTTCCATCCTAATACCAGGTTGTACTAGTAGACTTAAGCCAATGGGTCCTATATCGTAGAAATGAACTCCAAATTTCCAAATAAAATGGCTTGTGTCTGTAAGGCTTTTTTTTTTTTTTGAGTTGGAGTCACTTCATCGCCCAGGCCGGAGTGCAGTGGCACACTCCTGGCCACCACAGCCTCGACCTGCTGGGCTCCAGCGATCCTTCCGCCTCAGCCTTCTAAGTAGCTGGAACTACAGGCGCGCACTACCATGCCCAGCTAATTTTTTGGTTTATTGTAGAGATGAGGTCTCGCCAAGTTACCTGGGCAGGTCTCGAACCCGCGGGCGCCAGCAATCCACTCACCTCAGCCTCCCAAAGCGCTGGGATTATAGGCTGAGCCACCAAGCCTAGGCTTAAAACTTTTTAAGCCTTCCAATTTGATTCATAAAACCTTAGAGCTGAAGGAAACCTCGGAGATCGTTTCGGCAGGGAAGTAGACAAATGGTCCTGAGATGAAATAGACTGGAGCCAGCAGCACTTTACTGGACTTGGTTTATATCCCAGTGCCTCTAGCAGGCTGAGCCTCACACCCAGTCAGCAGCCCAACAGCACACCTTTGAAGAAGAATATAAACAGGGCTTACGTAGTCCAGTACTTTATAGTTTCCAGAGCCATTTTGATGTTTTGATATACAAATCCTGTGCTCTTTTTGCTAACAGATGCAGGAAGAGTGATGCTACCCACCTGACCCCTGCCTCCCGCCTATCAGTCTATCTTTCCTAGGTATCCCCATCTCATGTCATGGCAAATTCCATTTTACCAGTAACTCAGGCCAAAAGCTTTGGCACATCCTTGATTCATCTTTTCTTACGTTTCACATAGAATTTTATCTGAAAATTCTGGTATCTCTACTTTCAAAATATGTCTAGAATCAATAGTGATATTTCAAAATAATTGCTCATTTTTGTGCAATGACTACAGGTTTTTAAAGTTTTTTGTTTGCATTTTTTAATTTACATTTTTAGAGATGGGTTCTGGCTCTGTCATCCAGGCTGGAGTGCAGTGGTGCAATCATAACTCACTGCAGCCTCAAACTGGGTTCAAGAGATCCTCTTGCCCAGCCTCCTTAGTAGAGGACAAGGTGCGAGCCACTGCACCCTGAATATATTACAGCTTTTAAAAAGTCTTTATCTTTTTTTTTTTTTTGAGTTGGAGTCTCACTCTGTCGCCCAGACTGGAGTGCAGTGGCTGCTCCTGGCCACCGCAGCCTCGACCTGCTGGGCTCCGGGGATCCCTCCT